AGATAAACTCTGCAGCAGCCACAGTCATACTAAACTTCTACCAGGTATAAGAGCTAACAGCAGTCAGCCATCTACCATTCAGTAGAAGCTCACCTGGGTGGAAGAGACGCCAAGTGGAAGGACCAGTGGACGGAAGAGGGACACGGCCTCAACAGATGACTTGGAAGAGATCCAAAGATCTCTTAACTTTATGCCAAGTGAGCTATTAAAGTTAACATCTCAGCAGGAGCAAATGACTGGGTTGATCAAGGAAGTGAAAACAAAAATTTAAGTGGCTCATTTTTATTGGTTTTTATTCAGAGCAAATTACAAACACAATCAAAAAAGTGACATTCAGTAAGAATTTTTTCAGTGTTTGTCTTATTTTTAAAAACTGTATTTTCTATTGATATTACTACAAGTAAAGCTGTGTAAAAACACATTTCTGAAGACCTACAAGCTCTGAATGACATCCTTCCTTTTCACTTTTAGCTTCTCTCTGTCTGTTCTCTGATTTAAAGTGGCCCACACACTGAATACAAACCCAACTAATTATTTCCACCCAACCTTTCTCATCCTCGTCTGAGTAAACCAGGTCCCTGGAAAACACAAACAATGTGAGCTGCCTCTCTTGTGAATGCCAACCTCCCAGAGCTGAATGGAAGCATTTATTACCCTTTTTAATTATCAGAAAGCAGGATGTCTGTGTGAGTGCCATTTTCCTATAAACATCTTCTCCCTTCGAGCAAAGCACACAGTAATTAAACCCAAGTAGATGCTAGAGTCTATACAGGAGGTATTTACACCATGTGTTGTAGGCTGTGTTCTTTGCTCACAAATTAAAAATGTAATACATCAAATTAAAAGCTTGAGTTGTATGTTGGCTTCTTTTGAGGATCCTGTTTGTCCCTTAAGGAATCGATTGATTCTGAATGATTAGAAGCTTGAAGAGGGAAACAAACTGCCTGCATTTTAGAGAACCATCAATTTAAAGTCTAGATCTTTTTAAGTGGGATTTCTTTGGACAGTTTTTGAGAAAATAATATCTTACCTTACCTTACATGAAGTCATTTGAGCACCTGGTTCTTCCCCACCTCAAGCCCCTGCAGCCCCCCTCCTGGACACCCTGCAGTTTGCCTACAGAGCCAACAGGTCATCAACATGGCTTTACACTTCATCCTGCAGCATCTGAACTCTCCGGGCACCAGTGCCAGGATCCTGTTCATGGACTTCAGCTCTGCTTTCAATACAATCCTGCCAGACCTCCTCCAAGACAAACTGTCCCAGATGAACGTGCCTGACCAAATCTGCAGGTGGATCACTGACTTCCTGATGGACAGGAAGCAACAAGTGAGGCTGGGGACAAATGTCTCGGGCCTGCGGACCATCAGCACCGGTTCCCCTCAGGACTGTGTTCTCTCCCCTCTGCTTTTCTCTCTGTACACCAACGACTGCACCTCCAACCACGAGTCTGTCAAGCTTACGTTTGCAGACGACTCCACTGTCATTGGACTCATCTCAGACGGGGATGAATCTACCTACAGAATGGAAGTCGAACGGCTAGTGTCCTGGTGCAGCCCCAACAACCTGGTGCTAAATCCGCAGAAGACAGTGGACATTGTTGTGGACTTTAGGAAGCACACAGCCCCAGTCCTCCCACAACCCTGTGTGACTCCATTCACGATGGTGGACTTATGTCGCTTTCTGGGCACCACATCACCCAGGACCTCAAGTGGGAGCCCACCATCACCTCCACCAAAAAAAAAAGGCCCAGCAGAGAATGTGCTACCTGAGGAAGCTGAAGAATTTCAACCTGCCAACACAGTCGATAAGGCAGTTATACACCGCATTCATCGAGTTCATCCTCACCTCTTCAGGACTGTGTGGTATGCTGGCACTACCACCAGGGACAAGAAGAGGCTGCAGCGTGTCATGCAATCTGCTGAGCAGGTTATACTGGCTGCAAACTCCCCTGCATACATGACCTGTACACCTACAGGACATTGAGGCATGCAGGTTGAATCACAGCTTATCTGTGTCACCTGGACACAGTCTTTTTGACTCACTCCCATCTGGCAGGAGGCTCCGATCAATTTGGACCAGAAACACTCACCACAAGAACATTTTCTTCCCCTCCGTGGTCAGACTCATGAACGACAGTCCTAGGACTGCCCACTCCAGTTGCCTGGTTCCAGTCACATGACTCTGTGTTGTGTTTATACCTGGACTGATACAGTCTGATCAGTACCTACACTGTGTATAAAGTAGCCATTTCTCTAATTATTGCCACTTTATATTTTTATTTTATCATGATTATATTCTTACTTCCTGTGTTTGCTTATCTCTTATTTTTATCTTTTTGCACCAAGTATTGCAGCAATTTCCTGATGTTGTGATTTCTCGCTTATATGGCAATAGAACCCTTCTGATTCTGATACCTGTAAAGGACAGCTTTTTAGGTGGCGTCAGAAGTTAACCAGATAACTAGCTAATAACTAGTCACAACAGGACCTAGCTTGTGGCCAAAATCAAAAGTGTTTCTAACAGGAAATAATGTCATCCCCTTTGTTATGAATCAAAGGGTCAATTTTCACTATCTAATTGACACAGGATAACCTTTCATACACGCCAGAGCTGCAAAGTCAAGGTTGCACCATCTGGAGGATCCATACGCACAAATCAACCCTTTGCTCACTTATTGTTCTTCAGCGCAGACATAAATAAACTGTCAAGGTCTCCCACAAAAGCCCTTCTCTCTGCGTAAAAGTCAGACTGCTGAATTCCTCACTCTAAATAAGTGAATCAACACAAATCCTACAAGACTTTGCAACTTATACGTTAATTAATCATATGGTTGAATGAACAAGATGTTTAAATAAAATGTTTGAATAATCTGTGCTTAAATCAATGAAGTTGAAAAAATATTGCTCTTAAAATGATCCATTGCAGATCTTATGATCAGTATGTGTTTGATTTAACAAGTTAATCATTATCTACACTCATACACATCTTTATAAGATACCAATTAAGGTTAAGATTCAACTCACATAAGTGTTTCAAGACATTCTCATTCACAGTGTTAAAAACATCTTTGTATCTGAGGAGGACGTGGCTTTCTGAGGGATGTTGGTAAATACTCAGAAACGTGTCAAATTTTGATTGGCCAAATTTGGCGAGAAATCATAACAAAGTAGTTAATAAAACAAGAATTACTTCCCGAGTAATTAAGTTTCTAGCAAAGTTCCAAACTGGCCAATTCGGAACAAGCATCCTTGAGACATCCCTTTTGACATACAGTCATATACTTGTTTGCACGCTGCAAGCTGACACAGCCAGATGGCTCCCTAAGAGCCACACATCCACCTTGGATGCAAACAAGCATTCCAGCTACTGTTGTGACCTGGAAGATATCTCAAAACTGGATGGGTCGTTTCGGAGCCAACCTACGGGCTCCAGATACCGTGAGGTCCACCCAACGTCTGACAGTCTGGATCTGCTGGGGGTCTCTGCCAGGGTTTGTAGACACAACAGATTGCATCTGGTGCTGTTTTATTAATAATCAACTCTCTAGTTTATAGCAGACAACAAATTCTTTTACACCCAGATTTCACAATTTCTTTCAGACACAAAGGTTCTGATAAACATCTAACTTACATCACACCACCTACACATCATATCCCTTCACCGCATATCCACTCCATCACATCTCATTATTCAAATCTTGTCATGTATAATCATTAGTTTAGAAAAGAATAAAAATCCTTTTTAACTATATACCTGACTCTGTCTGAATTAATACAAAGTGTGTTTATGGTCCATGAACAAGTAAAATTAACTATAATCTTCTGATTAAACTTCAAAGATCAATCCAGTTGATAGTTCATATTTTTATGGAATTATCCCATCTTATTGGTCATAATTAATTAGCAGTTGTCACGCTATAAAGTGTGATCGCTACACCTTTCATAAAAAAGGAAAGATATTACATTCAAACCTTCCACAGCCTATCTACTTAGAAAGTATTTAGACATTATTATACAAACTGTGGAAACAATGTTTACTTTTGAAATACGTCTGTTACACGGCTGAAAGTTGGAAAATGGCATTAAAATAGTTTATTTGCTGCTTCGTTTGTTTTTGAGACATTGTGAATTTGAGGAATCTGGTTGATGAAAAACATTTCATTTCCATTTTATTTTTTTGTGATTACTTAACTTAAAAGCACACTATAACTCATTTGACTGGGCTGGAGAAGAAGCAAACACACTCAGCTGTATCCTGAGGGCTCTTCCAGTGCAGCTAGTGAATGACCCCCACAGGAGCAGCCGCTCGCTGGCTGGTTGAGTGCATCACTGCAAGCTACAAAAATGTCTATATTTAGACATTTGTCCTGTTTAAAAGGAAACAATTCTCAGAGGTTCAGTTTACTTGGAACAGGAAGCAAGAATTAAATACAAATACTAGTCAAAATCTCTAATTTGTATTTCATTTATGTTTTGTTTATATCAAAAATCACGAGGAAGCGCCTCGTGATTTTTATCGTGAGAGGCGCTATAGAAATCATATTTTCTTCTTCTGTGTGTGTGTGTGTGTATATATATATATATATATATATATATATATATATATATATATATATATCTGGCATTCTGGCACTGTCCCGGTGGGCCGCTTAGCCGAGTGGGCCACTTGCCCAGCTTCGGGCTTCCCAAACCAAGCCCCCGTCTCACATGCGGTTATAGAGACAAGTCCGCAAGTAGCACACACAACACCCCGTCCCTCCCCCCACATTTGGCGGGATAGACGAGCAGCAACCTTCCCTGCCGAGGGCCGACAGTATATAAAAATGCCAAGGCCAAATTTTGGTCCCAGTCCACCCCTGTATGTATGTATATATATATATATATATATATATATATATATATATATATATATACACATATATATATTATCAGAATTTCATGGCTGTTTTAGAAACACATCGGCTCATCTGCCCTCTCTCCTCCTCTTATTCCCTGCAGGTGACTGACACCATGGGTAACATGAGGACTGGTCTGCAACAGCACCTTGCCAGGCTGGATGAGATCTTTGCCACACGAGGTGATTATGTTCAAACCTTGCGGTTCATGCAGCAGATGGCTGACAACGTAATCAAACAGCTGCTGGGCCTTCCCGAACTGGAGGAAGCTAAAGTGGACCTGGCATCTGTCGCTGATCTAACATCAAAAATCGAATATTACAGGTAAGAAATGTTCATACCTTGTGATCAGGTGTTATGTTTGTTTCTAGTTCTTGGTGGTATTGTTTAATAAAATGAACCATTCCCAAAGCTAAAAACAGACATATCCAGAGAGTGTGTTTCACTCAAAATTTTTAAATTTTGTTTACTCCCTCCATTAATATTGCACAATGTTTTTGTGGGAACAAATTTATGCAGGAGGTGAAAGTTGTGCATTCATTTTATAAATGCAAGTCGTAGCAGAAGTGTTCCAGAAATGTAGTTATTCACATCTGGGGAGCAGGCTGCATCTTTGCACACAACTGTCCACGCAGGGTTAGCTGGTAGAAATGTATGAGACGAGGCTTCCAAGGATGAGTCAAACATGCTTACAGACCTGGAATGACATCTGACATATTCATGAACAGTAAGATGAGAAATTGTCATTTGGTTCCTGGAGATGCTAATATGCTTAATAACATCAAGTTTCAAAAACAGCTTCAGTCACTAAGCACTTTATATGCATGATTCGATTTTTAAATTAAATGTAGAGAGTTACACTGTGCATCCCATGACCCAGATATATGACTTTGTTGTGGAAGGAAATTTGATTTTACTTATGCATCATCCTCTTATGTGAGCACAAGCTCCTATACTGACACTATGTGATGCTTGATTTGTATTGGAAAATTAGCCATCATCCCATCAGAAACATGTCTGGAGTATGAACAACAATCATCACATGCAGGACTGAACCCTTGCAGAGATGTATGTCAGGAACTAAGGTCTACTTCAGCTTATCTTTCTGGAGTTTTCCCCATTCTGAAATGATGTATGATTTTTAGAAATCCGTAAAAGTGATCATCAATCAAATCAATCAATCAAAGTCATTTATTGTCATTTCTACCACATGTGCAAGACATACAGAGAAACGAAATTGAGTTTCAGTACACACAATGCAGAGATCAGACATACATGGGCAAGACACATGACAAGAATTGGTGACTGCGGTCATTCGCAACACGTGTCGCGCTACCTTAATAGATGAAAAGGAATTACATGAGGATAGGTTGGGGGAGGGAAAAAAAGGCATACCAGAGTTACTCCTGACAGGGCGTAGCTGTACTATGCAAAAAAACACCTCAAACATATAAGCACGAACTTCAACATTCACAACATGAGACTCCGTTAGGGAGGGGGGGCTGAGATCCTGTTTATCCAGGGCCAGCTGCCATGTGTGCAGCGCTCAGCCAGCTGTGTCCACAGGAGGGAGACAGATCTTGGGAGGAGCATAGAGCACATTCCTGCAGGTTGACGGCCTCGCTGTGAAGTCCACAATCTGAAGGCGGGGGGTAGGACGGGTTCCACAGCATCTGTCTGCATTCCTTCCTTCGTGGGGATGATTATTTGCAGCTTCAAGGCTGCCTTGGTGTCAGATTAGGATAACAAGACTGTGTTTGGCTCAGGCAGAGATAATTTTCCCCTCTGCTTTCAGTCTGTAACTGGTCATTCCAGTCCTTCAGTGAAGCCAATTCGGGTTATTAAACATCTCCACACCGTCCGGTGAATCTCTCCGAGATGACATCCATTTTGCGCACTAACACTGGTAACGCAGCTAAGACATTGTCCAGCTTACGATTCACCTCGAGTAACGTCCCAGTCTGTGAGGTCTCCGCCCAGACGGTGCTGTCTATGGGTGCGGGTCGCCCTCCAATCGCTCCCGTCTTCCCAATTTTTCGGAAAACCAGATATCCTCCCAATTCCAATCAGAAGAAATCCAGTGATAATCAGGCCAAATATCCACATATCTTCGACGTCCTCAATGGACAGCTGAGAGAGACAGACGACCTTCCACTCGAGCATATATCGAGCATATATCTCGCTGCGTGTGTCCCATGAGGGCAAGTGGGAGCCCCCTCCTCCGTTCTCATCGTAGAAAAAATCCTATCAATCTCGTTGAATGACCAATTAATTAAATCCATTTCTGAAAAATAGTGATTTCCAGAGGAAATGCAGAGAAGCGCTCTGTAGGCAGACAGGACAAAAAGAGCCTTGGGGAAAAAAAGATAAGGGAGCAAAGCAGAAAGCGTCTGTGCTCTATGAGTGCCAAGAGAAGAAAAAAAAACTGTAAAATAATGTAAACAATACATCTTTTTTTTTGCTAAGCCTGCCCCCTGCAGAGCTAACGCAGGAGATGGGTATGGGAGACTATTTTCATATTCAGTCTGCATAAAAAATCAAGTGACCGATTATTGGTTCTGTGTAGTGAGATATGTATACCGGTAGTTCTGAACACAGGCCAAACATGCACAACCCTACTTTACTAGTGATGTCTAAACAGTTATGTTTATTTGTTTGTTTTGTTTCATTGTTTAAAGCATTACTAAGACAAATTTTTAACAAAAGATTTTAGCCAAAGAACATTTCTGGACAGATTTCAGATAGCTTTGGTGTGTTCTTGCTGTGTTTAGTTTCAAATTCCATCTTTCAGTTCTTTTTAAAACACAGAAAAGGTTTATTTACCTGCAACGTTTCATTTGCGACTGCAAACATCATCAGACTGATGCCTATGGGGGCGTCACTTACTTCGTTTATCCGCGTGCAGCAGAGGACGTTGTCGCCCTCTGCTGCACGCTCTCCCCTCTCCGATGATGCAGTCCCATGTGCGATCCAATGAGTAAACTCCATCGTCTGTTCATGGTCTCACATCCAAGTCTCCTTATCTCGATAGCTTCTTTTATCCATCTTTTGTGTTTCTGTTGTTCGGTGTTTATGATCCTTGTTGTTAGCACTGTTGCCTCGTAGCACGAAGGTTGCAGGTTCGAAACTCGGCTGCGGCCTTTCTGCGTGGAGTTGCGTGTTCTCCCCATGTGTGCGTGGGTTTCATCTGGGTACTCCGGTTTTCCCCACAGATCACAATATGCCCTATAGGTTATAAATTGTAAGTCACTTTGGATAAAAGTGTCTGCCAAATAAATAAACATAAACATAAACAAACTTGCAGTGGCTGAGATGCAATATTTGAATTCACCTTTCAGAAATACATAAGAGCACCAGAGTTATTCACAATTTAATGGAGCAACTTAGCATGTAAACAATGATTTTATTGAAAGAAAAGGCAATGTTGTTCTATTATGATGGAATATAAGTCATCCAAATTTGATTTATGCTAACTGACCCTGCAAATGCTAACATATTGTCACATCTTGCAATTCATATAAATATGGTGTAAATTATTAACTGACAAACAGGTCATGTTAATGGAACAGAGACAGAGATAATCGCAAACTAAACATTAAGATCTTCAGCCTAGTTTACACACTGAACAAAAATATAAACACAACACCTTTTTTGCTTCCATTTTCCGTGATCTGAACTCAAACATCTGAAAACGTATCCACATACACAAAACACCCATGAAATATTGTTCTGAAGTCTGTCTACATGTGTTAGTGAGCACTTTTCCTTTACCAAGATAATCCATCCCACCTCACGGGTGTGGCATATCAAGGGCTGATTAGACAGCATGAATAATGTACAGGTGTGCCTTAGACTGCCTACAATAAAAGGCTACCCTGGCATGTGCACATACATGTTTCTGCATTAGCAAGTATCCTCACATGCACACATTCTGATGGAGACATTTTTCTTTTATACCTCAGTGTGTGTCAGTGTTGTGAAGCATTCCTTCACCAGGACAGCAGGGAGTGTGGACATTTTCTGGTGGGTCTGCCATACCATTGTAGTGAAGTCTAGTCAACGACTTCAACTGCTTGACGTCAAGGAGCAAAAACTTTTGCTTCAATGAAATCAACAGAAGCAAAGGAGCTGTTGACAAATTAGAAGGAAGTCACATCAAGCTGGAAATTATTTTGGGCTGGCCAATCACAGACATGCACTCTCTGCTGTGTTTAAAATTTCTATGGCCTTGTGTCAATGGATATTAGTGTCCACAGACGGGGAAGTAAAAACTAGGCTTTTCATGAGCACATCATCAGGAAAAATGTGGGTTTTTTCTCAATGTCAAGGCGCCTGGCCTTGCGAGGCAATGTCTTGTGAGGCCAGGCGCCTTGCTTACGAGGAAACTGTCCTTCCTTGGTCAAAGAAAGTGGTTAAATGGAACAGACTTGCATCACGTGACCACAGCTTCAACGGCCGTCACGTAACGTCACGTGACATGGGAGGTAACGTTATATTTCATACATATTAGTTTCAATCATTGACATATATACTGGACAATTCATTTCCATAGGCTCCAATAACACGTTTTTGTGCCAAAATGGGAGGTGGCCACCACCGCCATTTTGACAGTGTCACAGGTTCCGTCAAGCCCAGACAATTCCACAAAAGGTAAGAGAGGTGGAGCTGAGGGTGTGGCTGTAAGGCTGGGATCAACCGACGACACCCGGTCGAACTAGCTACAAGCTAACCTGAAGCTAACCCAAAGCTAACGTGGAGGTGGGAGCTAAGCTAACGGAGGTTGCAACCTAGCTACAACCGGAGTTAACTGTGCACAACACTAGAGCTTCTGAGTCAGAGATACACTGGGCTGACCGCTGGGTAAAACCGGGTGGAACACAGAGGTCTCCCGAAAGCTGCTGAAAGCCAGCAACCCGCGCAGCAGACAGAAGCCGCGATCAGACAGAGATGCGCCGAGCTGCGGGGAGGGGAGAACCACAAGCCGGCCGGCAGCCCGTGAAGCAGACAGAAGCCGCGATCAGACAGAGATGTGCCGAGCTGCGGGAAGGGGAGAACCACAAGCCGACCGGCAGCCCACGCAGTAGCCCGCGCAGCAGACAGAAGCTGCGATCAGAAAGAGATGCTGCGGGGAGGGGAGAAACGGGTGGGAAACATCGGTCTCCCAAGAGCTCCACAAGCCGATAGTCGGAACCCAGCTCCACCAACATGTTATATTTCAACCCATTTTCTAAAGTGCAGCATTATGTTAAATGCACTGGGTTTTACCCTATTACATTTAAATTTCATGGTTAAACAGTACATGTTAAAATCTAAGCTCAGCTCGGCAATGACCTAAAATACATAAATATCATTTTACTTACCAAAAAAATTAAGTGGACTCTCTATATTAGTGTAATTAATGCCACAGCAAGTCATTTTGTCCAACAATTGCACAAATAATATCCAAAACAGAATACACAAACACAGAGACTCAAAATCCCGGAACAGTTTCCAGGCCAGACCGAGGCTCTACTGAGGCCTTTCCACGGAGCTAGCTCTGCGGTCACGTGGGTCTGATGCTCATTAATTATACTGAATTTTAGGCTTTTAATAAAATTAAACAGAAGAGTGAGAAAAAAATTCAGCCCCATCAGAGTTGTCATGAGTGTAAACTAGATAATTTAAACCAAAAACATGTTTTGGTACCAGGCTGTAAACATGTTTATTTCTGCTGTGAAATTGGTATTTTTCACATGGGAGTCAATGAGGATTTGCTCGCTTCTGACACCAGTCCCCAGTGGATGAGGGTGGAACTGCAATTTTTGGTACTTCCGGGTTGGCCTCAATTTTTGACCCGAATTGTGGGGCTTGGTTTCAATATAAATATACAATGAGACTTTTACTTTTTAAAATGTGTATATATTTGTTAATTTAAATATATAAGTCAGTTACTACCCGCTAGCCATCAAGGTGAGGTTCCTTGGCATTGAGAAGGCTCAGAGTGTGTCACATCTAAAATGGCCCAGGTGAAAATGGTCTTCCCACCCTGCAGATAATTCCGCAATCTCTGAGCTCTTATATTCTACATGTTTTATTTTCGCTTCATGTGATCACTGAAAATAGCAACTCTGTGCTTTTTCGTATTCTCTGTGTAACATTTCAATTTTCACTTTAAATTTTCCCTTTTTCACATGCTTTTGCTGAACTGAATTTTCTTGAGGAAATATTGTTTCCTTTGTTAGTCTTACATGCACCCCCTCCACCCCCTCATGAGTGCAAGCTTTGCTGTTTGACTAATTGGATTAGGATGAGAGAAGCAAACACGGTGGCACTGGAGTACCCCATCTTGATGCTTCAACTACTTCCTCTACACCCAGCCAGACGAGGAAATTGTCAAACAAGAAAGACATTGTGAAGAAGCTGCAGTGAAATAGAGAAGAAGGTTGAGAGAAGAAGGAAGAACATGGAAGATGAGAAAGGGAGAGAGAGAGGGGGCGGGGGGGGGGGGGGGTAATAAAGATGATTTAAAAAAAAGCTTCATTTGGAAGTAAAATAAATAAAAGAACACTGATGGAAATACAATAATTTGACAATGTGATCATTTGACAGACCTCATTGTAAAAGTGTCTTCATTAAACATTTAACCATATGTAGATTTGAAGCCATTCATTATTAACCATCTGGTCAGATTTTGCTGTGCTCAGCTGCAATTTACGTCTAGCTGATGTAACATATGGTTACACTAAAGTGGGTGGAGTTTGCCCTGAAACACACCCCTCAGGTGACAGCCATTGGATGTGTGCAGTGATGTGGAAGATACATCCTTTCGTTTGGCCTGCTTTTTTTCATTGTCACTGTCGAGTCATGGGGCCTTGCTGATCTACATGAAAATGAATATTTTCAGCTTGTTCTTTAGCTGTTTGAATGCATTATAAATGTTATTCCCATCAGAATAAGTGACTGAGTAACATTCCGTCTTGCTACAACTTGTTAGCACGGCACGCTCAAGAGGTTTCACTGTTAAATTGAATCAGCTAGAAGGATGCTCCACAATTCAGAGAATTTTATGAAGTTGAAGTTTCTCTTTACCAAATCCTGTCCATACTATGTTAAATCATGTATTCAGCAGCCCAAGTTTAATGTTCACTTGTGCCTGTATCTGCAGGTGGCTGACCTACCTGCTGCTTCTCATCCTGGACCTGATCATTTGCCTGCTGGCCTGTCTAGGACTAGCCAAGCAGTCCCGCTGGCTGCTCACCACGTGAGTCTAATATGAACTCTCAGACTGTTGTATTTACCGAAATGTGCTTTTGTAGTTCTGTCAGATTTTGACTTACATTGTAAAACAAGATGGAAATATTGAATCTGCGGGGACAAGTGCAAAAGCGTGGATTGTGAAATTAGAATTCTGACGTATTTTCATGGTGAAGATTGTTATTAAAACTGCCAATAATAATTAGTTAAGAACCTTTTAATAATATTTGATTGATGTTCTTTTTCTGTCATGATTTTTGGTTCATGAGTTCTCCTGCATTTTGGGTTATGATTTTCTGAAGCACTATATCAAGGAAAAGAGAACTTTTGCAGAAATTTTGGGAAAAACAATGAAAAAACAAGCATCGCTTAGAGCAGGTTTAATTAGAAACCATTTTTTACTTCTTATTTTTGAAAATGATGATCACTCAGTTTTTCATGCAGGCTGAGCATGCAAACAGTCTTCTACCCATATTTCCTGCATTAATCACTGAGAGAAAATAGACACTCGTTTCAGAAAATCCTGACAGATCTATGCCACGCTGTAACTGAACATTCATGGACTCACCCATCTTGACTCACGAAGGGAAAGCTGTTGTTGGTTTAATGTCCGGGACACCGCAAAGAACGTCTCGGCTAGTAGAAGCTAATCGTTAGCATTAGCAACTCTACCACACAGCAGAACTCCTCCAGCCTTTGTGTTATTTGTAGAGGTTAAACATCAGCAAATGGAGTCAGTGGTGAAGTTGTATTGCTGTGATCAGCCAGAGACAAGATGTCAGAATATCAGGAAATAAGACTCCAAATCCTGCCGTTCAGCTGACTTCTACGTCCTCACACAGGCGCACCGGAGCTTTTTCCCCATAGAGAACGACTCACATGGCATTCATTCCTTGTAAAGACCACTGCTAATGTATTAAAAATATAAGTAAAGTTGACCTTCAACATTTAAAAAGTTGACAGAAAATTGAAATCGTTTTATCTTTTGGAGATTTTACAAAATATTTATCTTAGTGTTACGATGTCCGCCACAAGTAAAATCTGACATGTTGAAATTTCCTAAATGTTAGAATATATGTTTTACTCCAAAAAAACAAAAAAACAATTTTTTTAACCAGAAATCACTTATCAAAATTTTGTCATTTTTGTCCTTTTACCCATTGTGTCTCTTATAGGACCATGCAATTTTCCTTCAAATCCTTTGAAATTCCAAAAAGTGTCCTTGAAGTTAAAATGGAATTAATAAAAAAAGTGAATGTGGTGCAAAAGTTGATTTATGTCAGTAATTCAAATTTAAAGATGAGACTAATACATTAGACTCATTACATGCAAAGCCAGATATTTCTGCCTTTATTTGTTACATTTGGGATGATTATGGATTACAGCAGATGAATACCCCACATTCTAAATCTCAGACAATTAGAATATTGCGTAAAGGTTCAATTTTCTAGAATCAAAGTGTCACACTCTGATCAGCTAATGAATCCAGAACACCTGCAGAGGGATCCTGGGCCTTTAAAGGGGGACTAGGCCGTTCTGGCTTGCTTTTAGCACCCCCTAGTGTTTTTTAGTGAAAGCAAAAGTGAAACTTATCTCCTCATTGTGCATTTGTCTTTTTAAACACCTGACCCCGGTTTCACACTGCAAGCATCACCGGAACGGAACAGCAGCGGAGCGGCTCACTCGCAAACCTCAAAGCGGTCCTTCTCACACCGGGAAAGTCTTGGCTTGGTCACCTAGTCACGGCTTCCTCGCTGCGCCTCGCTGTACCTGTGAGATTCTAAAATCCCTCGAGACTTCCAACACCTTCCTCATCGAGAGATCACAACTAGGGATGCACCGATCAGGTTTTTTGTTGCCGATCACCGATACTGATATCAAAGAATTCTGATCACGATACCGATCGATGATACCGATCACATGGAATGGCCAGAAATTTTCTACAACATTATGAGTGCTACAGACTACATAATCTGGGAATAAAGGAAATGTAACATAATCTAAAATGGTCTGTATTAATTTAGACAAAAACTTGTTTTTATCTTTTAAGAGAAAAAAAGTCTTGCAGCACTGTCAGTGTTTTTATTTCTGACCATTACTTGCAAGCTTCCTGCTCAGAACCCAAGGTTTAGACATGAAGATGTCTCTTGGATGAGAGGTAAAACATTTTCAAGATAACCAGAAAACTCTAGCTGCTTTAATAAAATCTCTTAAGATGATCATGTCCAGGAAAACTGAAGCACTTAAATGTAGCTCCTATCAGTAACAATTTAACTGATTCAAACATTAACGCCTCTGTCAGTGCGCCCCAGGGCAGCTGTGGCTACATCATAGCTCATCACCATCGGTGTGTGAATAGATGAATGATTCACCGTAGTGTAAAGTGGGTCCTTACTCTGTAAGGCGCTATACAAGTGCGGGATCGAGGAGGGTTGCAATTGTGTACAGAGGCTCAGATTCCATGTCCTTGAATCTCTTCTTGACAGATTCCAAGAGCGTGGCTTTGACCATTTTTACACCATGGTCAGTCTCCTGTGTTTTCTCAAGAAGACGAGTTAAGGCTTTGATGGATGGAATTACATCCGCAGCCGATGCATTTGATTCACTTATCTTGCGTGTGAGCTCGTCAAAGTGTTCAAGCAGTGAAATCAGATTTTCAATCAATTTCCACTGGCTAGGGATGAACATGCAAGGCAGATCATAGTCGGCTGCATAACTGCAAAGGGCGCGTTTCTGTTCCACTAAACTTTTTAGTATAGCAACAGTACTGTTCCACTGGGTGGGTACATCCTGTTGTAGCCATTTGAGCTGCTGGGGTTGGCTTTCTTTCTGAATGTCGTATAGTCTGGAGTAAGCAAGCGTAGAATGCTTAAAATGACCGACCATGCGTCGCCCAGTTGCGATGACGTCAATCACTCCACGCTGTGCCAAAACACCCTCATTCACAACAAGCTGGAGTGTGTGTGCCATACACAGCAGGCTTGGTAAACCAGCATCCTTCATAGCCTTTGCCATGTTACTCGCATTATCCCGTTATCCCGTAGGATAACATGTACTTTTTGCTTTGGGATCCCCCATGTTTGGAACATGTCTGTGAAAGCTTTAGCGATGGCAGCCATCGTGTGTGATCCAGGAAACTCTTGTGAGTGAAGCACAACTCTCCTCAGCTCGAACTTTTCATCAATAAACTGTGCAGTTAAACTCAGCATCGATATGGTACTCACACTAGAACTCCAAATGTCACTTGTAAAGCCGACTGACACAATTTTGACATCCTGGATAAGGCTTTGGATCTGACTGTAGATACTATTAAATAGCTCCAGGAGGCATTCATTGGTGAAATATTTACGACTAGACAGCGTGTAGCGTGGATCCAAGCAGTTAATGAGGCGTTTAAATCCGATGTCTTTGACAACAGAAAATGACCGATGGTCAAGCCATATGAATTCCATTACCTTATGATTTTTTTTTTTTTTTGTTGCTGTCGCTGCTGTAAGGTTGCTGTCGTTTATATGTCTCTGTTACACCCAGCTGAGTTAGCGGTGTCACTGCTGCGTGCTGCTTTTTTCTCTCTGACTTAGCAGCAGCCAAAGTCGTAAACGTGGTGTACTCCTTGGTGTGAGAAACTTTCAAATGTCTTATCAGGTTTGTTGTGTTGAAATTCTTTTGTAGCATTCCTCCTCGGGGTATCTCCTTTGCACACGCATTGCAAACTGCTAATTTGTTTTCCTTTTTGAACACATTGTAAAACTTCCATACCGGTGACGCCATTTTCAATGTAGATGCTTTGAAGAGACCACGCCCCAATAGGAGACCTGGATCTGAGAAGCGGAAAATATTGCCCTGGCGGCAGTTTGCTGTAAATGTCACCTGATCAGCCTGCTTTGATCTGTTTTGAAAACTCCGATCAAAACCGATAGGGGCGCTATCGGCCGATTGGGATCAAATGCCGGTCCATTGGTGCATCCAACAAAGCCGTTCGGTCACACGTGCTGACGTAAATTATATATAACATCGCAACATTGCATTTTATTTTGAAAATAACTGGAGATTTTACACTGAAACCATGTGTGGTTTCCTGTCTCGCACTATGTGAACTGCGGAAATTGACGTGTCCCAGAAGCGGCTCGTGGAAAAAATAGAACTCGATCTTTAGCGGCGCGGCATGCCGCTTTTGGGACAAGCCTGAAAATTGCCATGTCGTGGCTGGTTTGAAACACTCCATAGACTATAATTGGATTCTATTTGAAGCGGTGCCACTTTGCTGCCGTTCCGTTCCGCTGATGCTTGCAGTGTGAAACCGGCTTTACTGTCCACCTGTCCAGGAATTTTGAGATAGAGTATGTGAAGATCTGTCAAAGTGTCTGAAATGTCATATCCCAACGTCCCCCTCTCTTTGTTTACTGGGAAACCTGGACAATGTCCCGATTGAAACATCTTTGGTTCATGTGGTTCTGACTGCCATATGCATCGCTAAGAAAACTATCCTCTTGAATTGGAAAAATAGAGAAACTCTCTGCATTAACCAGTATAGAAATCTTTTGTTAGATCATATTACACTTGATATAGCCTCTGCTTCCACTTCAGATCAATCTCTCTGGGCTCCTTTGATCGGTTCCATCACATAGCGAGGGTAGGGGGCCGTTGATGTTGTCCTGCGGGATGGTGTGGGTGGGGGGGGGGGGGGGGGGTCTGAATTTGGAGTATCCGGATGTTCCCTGGAGGTGGGTTCACTGGGGGTGTCTGGGACTGGGGGGCCGTTGCCCCCCTCTGGAGGTGCTTGGGTTGCCTCGGGGGGTGGACTACTGGCGGTTGTGAGTGGGGCCCCTTGGGGATCTTGGCGGCAGCCATGGGTCACTGCCTGGCAGCTGCATTGCCCTTGGGCTGGTCTGGGTGGGGGCCTGGGGGCTCAGGGTTTGGGGGTGGCCGGCCGCCGGTGGGGATCTGGGCGGGGCCTTGGGGGTCGGGTCCTGACATGTATGCTGCTGGGAAGAAGGCAGGAACATG